CCAGTCATGCTGCATAAAACTTTTATTGGCAGCTGAAACATTTCATTCTGCTTCCATGGAGTCTTGGAGTGCCAGACAGAGGAACTGGGGAACTGTAGCAGGTGCCTTTCCACTGAACAGCAGCTCTGGTTTGGATGTTTCCCTCTCCTGCTCAGCAGCCTTCGTAAACAGGTTGAGCTGCAGTGAAGGAAACTGCAAAATAAGAGCAGAGAAATGCTAAAACCCAAGAAGTGCTGCTGGTTCCAAGCAGCATGGGACCATGCAGCAAGCAGGAGGGTGCTTTGCTCTAGGATAGTTCATAGAATATGCTGAGTTGGAAGAGACCCATCAGGATCATCGAGTCCAACTCCTGTCCCTGTGCAGGACACTCCAAGAATTGCCCCATGTGCCTGAGAGCATCATCCAAATGCTTCTTGAACTCAGGCAGGCTTGGTGCTGTGACCTACCTCTGCCTTGGGGAGCTTTTTCCAGTACTCAACCACCCTCTGGGTGTAAAACCTTTTCCTGTTATCCAACCTAAACCTCCCCTGACTCAGCTTCCTGCCATTTCCCCCCAGTCCTGTCACTGGTCACAGGAGTAAAGAGATCAGGACCTGCCCCATCTCTTCCCCTCCTGAGGAAGCTGAACAATCCAAGTGACCTCAGCTGCTCCTCACGAGTCATCCCATCCAGTCCCTTCAGCATCCTTCTGGCTCTCCTTTGGACACTCCAATAACTTTATGTCCTTTTTATGTTGTGGTGCCCAAACCTGCACGCAGTGCTCCAGGTGAGGCCACACCAGTGCAGAGCAGAGTGGGACAATCGCCTCCCTCGACCGGCTGGCAATGCTCTGCGTGATGCACCTCAGGGCAGGGCTGGCCCTCTGGCTGCCAGGAGACACTGTTGCCTCATCTTCATTTTGCCATCAACCAGAACCCCCAGGTCCCTCTCCACCTGCTGCTCTCCAGCCACTTGTTCCCTAGTCTGTACTGACACCAGGGCTGCCAGCACTTACCCTTGTTAAACTTCACATGGTTGGTGACCCCCCATCTCTCCAACCTGCCCAGGTCTCTCTGCAGGGTCTGTCTGCCCTCAAAGGTGTCGACAGCTCCTCCTAGCTTTGCATCATCAGCAAACTTGCTTAGAATTCCTGCATCCAAGAGAGTTCTTAAAGTCCTGCATCCAAGTAATTGATTAGTTAATTGATTAGTTAACTAACTTTTTGCAGCAGACTTGCTTTCCATTCAGCAGAACCCTTTCCTACCCCCAGCACATAATCAATGACACTCTTTGCAGTTGTTTGAATTGCCCAGGCTGAATTCCTGGAGTTCTTTCTGGTGTGGTGGGTTTTGACTAGGAGCTGCTTGCTGGGAACCCAGGCTGTTTCCTGAGGGCTGGATCCAGCACACACAGCAGGTCCCACTTCTGTCTGAACTCCAGGGTGTGCTCTGCAGAAAGGGCTGTGGGGATGTGCCCTGCTTGCCTAGCTAGCAAGAGTCCTTCATGCTACAAACACTGAGCATGTTGCAGCTCACAAAAGTAAATTCCATGATTTATCCTTGTGCATCCTGACCGAGCAGTGCCCAAATTCCGAGAGGAAGGGCTGCGCCTGAATACATTGTGGAACTTAAATTTATATTTTTAAATCAAAGGTTTTGTAGCAGGGAGGCTGCAAATGCTGAAAGTGTTTGTGAAAGTATTTGTAAGATTAAAAAAACTCACATTTTTTGAACTGGAGGGTTAAATATGGACAGTAATGTTGCATTTCCTTGTAGTTATTCTCTACCTTAATTAAAAAAAACAATCTGAGGAAGCCCTGCCAAGACTTGCTGACCAAGGCTGCTTTATCTGGTGGTGTTTTGTTTTTTTTCTTCATGACAGTGCTTGGATCTGGCAGTGGCAGTAAAGTCTGTTGAGCGGAACTGGGGAGACTGGAAACACTGGGTCCAGTTGTCACTAACCCAGCAGCCTGCTGGTATCGAGAGCAAAGCAGGGAAAAAGAATTGGCAGAAGAGGTGGCCTGATGCTGTGTGGCAATGTCACAAAGAAGGGCAGCCCGGGAGGACATGGCAGCAGAGCTGACTGAGGCATGGGTCAGGGACTGGGAGTGATCTGTGAGAGTCTGGAGGCAGAGAGAGCTGTTCTCTGGTGGATGCAAGCAGGCTTTCTGGGAAAGGGTTTCTGAGAAATCCTCTTTTCTGTTGATGAGAGCGACTGTGGAGAGGAGAGGGAAAGAAAAGCTGTACTTGAGCTGCAAGAGGATTTTCAAGTGTGTCATAGACATGACAGCTGAAGGCCAGAGAATGCATTTATATTGGAGTGCTGCTGCTGGAATAGATGAGAGTAATAACTCCAGGTCCTTCTTGGTCATGGCTAGTGTGCAATCCATGGCTGAAACCAGTCTCGTGTAGTGTATGAGGGAGGTTTCTGCCTGGAGTGTGCTGTGCTTGCTACTCAAAGCACCTGGTTTTGAGCATTGCCAGAGAAATAGTAGCAGTTGGCTTTCTTCTGTTTCTCTGGAGTGATTCCTGTGCTATAATGAATTCCTGCAATTAACTTCTCAACAATTCAATTCTCAGCTGGTACCTGCTGGAGATGTTGGGTGGAAGGAGGAACCTTTTGGTTGATTGATCAAGGTGTAAGGTCTGAGGGGAGAAAACAGAATTCCACTATTAGATTATTAATCCAGCCATCATCTAAAATACCTTTCTTTGTTTCTGGTTGGGGTTTCTCTGCCTCACCCTGACCTGAAGCTTAGTCCCTGCTCCAGTGCAGGCTCTGACTGAAACTGGGAGAGGTGAATCACAGAATCACTGATGCCAAGTCATGACACGAGGAGAAAAAATTACATTACAGCTGAATTCTTGAACAGGCAGTGCCTGGAAAACCTCTGCTTGGGTAGAAAACACAAAAAATGCTGGGTGGTGACCTGGCTGTGAATGAAGACGTCCTGCTGCCTCCAGCAGCACTGTTCCTGGGGACAGGCACACACAGGACTTCATTGTTACATGCAGGGGGTTGCTATAACCTAAAGAAACCCTGAAAGTAAATCTGGGTGTAGCTCAGCTGATACTTGAAGCTGTTCAGCACCTGTGAGTAGATAGTGCAGGTCTGGGACATTGACAGCATGTCTGTCATCTGGACCCAAACAGTTTTACCTTACTGAGGCAGCAAACATCAGGTGGATCTGCAACATCCTTATGTCCTTGCTTTGCTTAGATTCCGTGGAATTTTTCTGCCAGTCCTAAGCTTGGCTTTCTGTGGAATCTGTGTTCTGGTCCGAGCTGCATTCCAGTTAGGCAGAATAACTCTTGACTGAGCCTCCTCAGCCTGTTCAAGGGTTGTTGCTTTCTCTTTGCTGCTGTTATTGCAGTGAGAAGACTGTTGATTTTTTTGCTTCTCAGGCACAGGAGAACAGCAGTGGAGTCAGCAGCAGCACCAATTCCTTGAAGAAGAAGCCCAAGTATGTCAGCTTGTATACCAAGGAGGGGCAAGATAAGCTGGCTGTCCTGATCCCAGGGCGTCACGCCTGCGAGTGCCTGGGCCAGAAGCACAAGCTCATCAACAACTGCTTGGTTTGTGGGCGCATTGTCTGCGAGCAGGAGGGCTCTGGGCCCTGCTTGTTCTGTGGGGCTCTGGTTAGTAACCAACTGGTCTTCACTTTCTGTGCTTGAATGTGACATAGTTTGCTTGGGATTTTGGAGAGGCATGGGGTTGAATTAGCCTCTCGGGCAAAGTTTCTCTAACAGAGTGCTCCAAACTCTAAAGCCGTGCAGGAAAGAACCTGTGCTGTCTCCTTCTGGGCTTTAAGTCACTTTTTGTTTCTTTTTTGTTGTTCTTCAGAGAGTGGAGAGGTTTCCCTCATAATTTTGGAGCTTGACTGGTTTATGGCAGTCTCCTGTGGCTGTCCTGTGCACTGCAGTGGTGTCCAAAATGTGTGCAAGTCTTCAGTGCCATCCTGGACACAGCCTGGGAGGCCTCATAAGTGGCAGGAGGTGTGGCCAGGGCCAACGTGTTGACTTTTCTTCATCCCATTTGGGATACCTGTTACCCCCATTTTGGGCTGAAAGGGCACATTTTGGAAAAGAGGGGCAAGCTAATGACTACAGATTCAGTAAAATTATCTTCAGGAGAGAAGAAGACCAGTGGTTGGATAAAGGAAATGTTTTCAATCAGATTGGTTGCTATTTTTAGAGATCAATTTAGCTCCAAGTGGCCAAGAAAGAGAGAGGGCTTCTGTGTTAGGCATGGTTTACCTGCTTAGGATCTGAGTGCATTTCTCATCCTTTGAGGTTACCGAGCAGCACACCCACCCACAGAACCCAGAAATACCAGGCTGTACATTCTCATGGATTGCTTCTGGGAAACAGCAAGCTTTTGGGATTCTTCTGGAGTAAATAAAACCCAAGGGCAGGAGGTGTGGACTGTCTTGGCCATCTTAAACAGCTTACCTTGAGCTGTGGCCCAAGGCTTCAAAGCTGGTCAAACATATGATGTCCTTCCTGAGTCTCCATTTTATTTTTTTTCCTCAGGTGTGCACCAAAGAAGAGCAGGACATTCTCCAACGGGACTCAAACAAGAGCCAGAAGTTGCTGAAGAAGCTGATGGCAGGTCAGTAGCAATTCCATACCTGCCACATGTGGTGTGTGACAGCAGGAGCCCTCCTACCTCCTTGTGCTATGCTTGCCTGGGTGTTGTAGGAATGAGTGTGTGCAAGTTGACTAGATAGATTCACTGGAATTGTAAAGAATTGCTGGCGAAGTCCAAAGATAATTCTTTCTCGGGAGTTGACACCTGAAGGCTTCTCTGCCATATAAATTGCCAGGACAGTTTGTGAACCTCAGAACTTCCTGTTGCTGCCTGGCCTTTGTGATGGGCAGTGCGAGGCTGGCTGGGAAGGCAGCTCCTGGTGTCGTTTCTGCAAGCACTTGGCAGCATTTCCGGACTTCAACCAAGGCGATAACTGCAGGTGTCAAATGGCAGCATAGAATGTCCTTTCACAGAAGCCCCAAGGCTGCTCCTTAAGCCATTCCTGAATCAATCACATGAACTGGATCATTGTAACAGCTCTTGAAAATGAGGCTAAGTCTCATGTGGAATGTGTGTTATGGCAGATGAAGTGCTGCTCTCTGATTTGCTGGGTCTAGAGAGGTGGTGGTTAATGTTTTCTAATTACTCTTGTTTAACACTTACCTTGGGAGCTAAAAATAGGATGAGAGCCAAGGAAAGCAAGAAGAAATAATACCCAGTCTCCCAGCAAAGACCTGGGCATTATGGGGATGTTTGTCTGCATTTAGCTGAAATACAGCCAAGGTCATAGTGTTCTTGGTTGAAAAATACACTTTGCTGAAGAACTGGGGAAATATTTACTCTGGGTCTCAGTGTCAGCTTCACTTCAGAGCTGCTGACATGGCAGGAGGTCCTGTAAGTCCTTGAGAGGAACAGCTGATCACAGAATTGGTCTGTTTATTATCTTCCCGTAGAGATCCAGAGGTGCTTCAGGATCCCCTTCCCTTACCCATTTCATGGGTCTTCTGCCCCAGCCAGGTCTGGCTTTGTGCATTGTGTAGGTGAAAGCTGAAACCTCCTTACCTGTTGGTCTCAGGAGTGAAAAATGTGGATCAGCAACAACAGGGAAATACAGGCTGGTTTGTTTCTCTGAAATGAAGGTGTTAACCATGTGATGGCTTCTGTGAAACACGCTGGGCCGTTCCGTTCTGGTTCTGCCCTTCTGCCCTTCATGCAAACCCGTCCTTTCTTGTGTGGTTTCTTTTGTTCCCTTTTGTTTGCTTGGCTGGGTTTTGGCCCCCTGCCAGAAACGGTAAAAAGGAAGAGCTGGTTGCTGGGAGTAGATTTCTCTATATCTAGCAATAGCTGGTCTGAAAAGTCTGCTGAGGTGTGCTGGGGGAGAATTTCCTTTGCCAGAGGCTCGTACAGCTGCAGACACAAGACTTGTTTTGCTTGTAACCTGCAATTGTCAGGGATCTGTTGTGACCAAGACTCTCTTTGTGGAGGGAACAACACTTAGGAGAGAATCTGGCTTGTAGGAGGGTAATCCAGGCCTGCAGGTGGTGATGGGTGAAATTTGGACTGTGTGAGTTGTTAGGGAAGGATGAAGGAGAGTCAAAGAGCAAAACCCTCTCTCAGAACACTACCTGGATGATGTAACTGTAGTATTTAAATACTTCCCAGGTTGCCCAGGGATGTTGTGGCTGCCCCTTCCCTAGACATCTTCAAGACTAGGTTGGATCCGGCTCTGAGCAACCTCATCTAGCAGGAGGTGTCCCTGCCCATGCAGGGGCGTTGAACCTAGATGATCTTTAAAGGTCCCTTCCGACCCAAACCATTCTATGATTCTGTGATTCCTCCTCTTTGGAGGGTGTAGTCTATGAAAGGGGACAGAAGGAAAATCAGGCCTTGAAACGTTCAGAAAGGTGCTGATCTTGAGGCAAGGTTCTTCTTTTAGCTCTTTGAATGACATTTTAGGGAGCATTGCTGCAGCCAGCTCCACCAAGATGACTTTAAGCATCTGTCTACTAAGCTGGTATTTGTTTTCTCTCTCAGGTGCTGAAAGCTCAGGGAATTTGGATGCCATAAGCAAAGATTTGCTGCCTCGGCAAGAAGCTAGGCTCAAAGCTGGCCTGGAGATGGCTGTGAAACACAAAGACAAGTTGTTGGAATTTGACAGGACCAGGTAAGATCTTGGCTGTGAGACTATTGTGAAGTGGTGAAAATTATTGAGTCACAGAATTGTTTTGGTTGGCATAGATCTGTAAGATTATCAAGTACAACCATTAACCCAGCACTGCCAAGGCCACTACTGCCCCATGTCCTTCAGCACCACATCTACAGGGCTTGGAAACCCCTCCAGGGATGGGGACTCCACCCCTGCCCTGGGCAGCCTGGGCCAGGCCCTGACAACCCTTTCAATAAAGAAAATTTTATTTATCTAGCAAGATGAGCTGCCTTTAACAGAAATGTTAGTTCTTTCTGAAAGCTGGGCTGCAGCTACAGACACCTTCACATTTGGTGGAACAAGAGCGAATCCCTTGGATGTATCCAATTGAATGTCCTTGCTTTGTGGCCCTGATGGTCCAGGTCTCTATAGAGAGCAGAGAGGAGCAGGCAGGGAGGCAGATCTGGGCCAGGCAGTGCCATGTGGCTGCTCTGCTGTGCTCATCTGCTCCTGCTGTGGTTATTTCTCCCCAGTGTGCGTCGAACCCAGGTCATTGATGATGAATCAGATTACTTTGCCACCGACTCCAACCAGTGGCTTTCCAAGCAGGAGAGGGAAGCCCTCCAGAAGAGAGAGCAGGAGCTGCGGGAGCTGCGACACGCCTCGCGCCTGGCCAGGAAAATCACCATCGACTTCGCTGGCAGGCAGATCCTGGAAGAAGACAACAGCATGGCTGAATACCACAGCAAGTGAGTGGGGACTGAGTTAGAAATCAGCAAGGAAATAATTTAGCTTGGGAAGGTGGTAAAACATGCTTTGGGTCAGAAATGTTTGTGCGGGGAGAAGGGAGATATTGCCGGGGGAAGCAGGGAATTCTCATGCCTCTTGTTTGTGTTTGCAGACTGGATGAAACCATCGAAGCCATTAGTTGTGGCACACTGGGCCAGGCAGCTGGGAGCCCAGAAACAAAGACAACTCTGAATTCTGGTGTTTTAGTTAATCCCCGTCTGCTCCAACCTGCTCCTTTGGTCAGTACGGATTGAATGAGCTGAGCTTAAGAACTGTGAATTCTAGCCTGTCTCCAGCACCTTTCTTCTCCCCTGTCTCACACATCCTGATCTGGGTTGGGGACAGAGAAGATTTGCCAATGCCCTGCTCTGTTCCCTGCTCTTGAGAAGTTTGGTTTATCTGGGTTTTAGTCTCTGACCTCCTTTTCAGGATCTTGAAAGAATTTCTAAGAGTCGCCCTAAGATTGTGTCACTTTCTCAGCTCTATTTATGATGCCTTTTTTGCCAGATTTCCAACTTTCAAAGAGCATAATCTCTGCCCTGTAATTCCACTTCAGCCATGTTCTTGGTATATGCCAAGCGTTTGGAGGTTGGATGATCCCAGTTTGGATAGTTTGCAAGGGAGGCAGAATGATCCCAGTAAGACCCCTGTCCTTAAATGAAGGAAAACTTCACATTTGATTTGGCCTTAACATACGTTGTTCCTAGTGAGGCACTAACCTATTTCTTGTTTCATTTGAACACACTGAAGTGGGTGGACCAGACTGGCTTGCTCCCAGCTCGGAAGGCTGTCCCTTCCATGGATGCTGGGAACGTGTCTGGCTTGGAACGGAACAGGTTGCGGATTCAGGATCGAGAGTTGCAGGAGATCTCAGATGATGGTTGGTGCCTCAGCATGCACCAGCCTTGGGCCTCCTTGCTCGTCAGAGGAATCAAAAGGTACAGGGCTGGCCTGAACTGTGATGTATCAGATGGGAAGTTGTGCTTCTCAGAGGATCTCTGTGGTCTTGTTTGCGTTGGGCAGTGATTGATACCTACTGGTAGCTGAGGTTTGGAAGCTGTGCTTCCTCACCCACTGGTCTGGTGGTGTGTGAATCCATTTTCTGTGAGGTTACCTAACCCGGAAGGTGTAAGTTTCCTCACAGTGGGTAAATTTAGAGATAGGCTGAGATTTCTGCTTGTGGTTGGAATGAGGCTTTCTGGAATTTGAAAGGTAAATAAGCTGAAAATGTCAAGTATGTTCTGCTCTTGCTGTCCCTCAGAAAGAAGCAAATGGTGGCACCAGGCTTTGTTTAAAAAACAGAACAACCACACAGACACCCCTTGCCACCACCTTCCCCGTCTGGGCTAGGAATTGGGTTATGGGGAGAAGCTCTTTTAGTCCAACATCCCTGGCAGAACTTTTTGACCTTGTAAGGGAATTGTGTGAGCAGATTGGCCTCCACATGTGTCTGACACACTGCTGTTCTCACAAGGGATGGGTGTCCTTTTCCGCTGTTGCTCTAAAGCAGCGAGGACATGCTCTGCTTGTGGCTTTAGTTCTTTCCCATCTCAGCTTTTCTCTGTAGTGCTGACACATTGCTTGGGTTTCAACAGTCAGGACAAAGCTGAGCTGCAGGAATCATGTAGTGAAACATTGGGTTGAAAGATCTGACCATGTGGATGCTTTCTGCTGGAATGGAAGCCCCAAATTCCCCTTTGTTCTCTAGGGTGGAGGGCAGGACCTGGTACACATCTCATAGAGGGCGGCTATGGATTGCAGCTACTGCTAAAAGACCTTCCCCTCAGGAAATCTCTGAACTGGAAGCCACCTACAGAATGCTGCTTGACAAAGGTGAACTTCTCTCCTTGGATCTTTGTGTTATTTGATACATTGAGCCACATAGCGAGCGGTGTCAGAAAGTCCTCTCTGCTGAGCCATTATTACTGCTTCACTTTTTAACCTTCTGTTCCTGCAATTCTCTTCATCCTTTCTGCATTTTGTCAGCTGAATGAGTACACTGGCAGACCTGAACTCCATCCTTGGGCTGCTCACATTCTCCAAGCACAAACACCATGTAATTGCACCTGACTTCTTTGGTAGCGTTTGACAGCAAAGGGCTTCATTTTGTTCTTGGCTCAAGCAACAAGCTGTGGAGTGTGTGTGCGTGTGTGGTTTGCACTTCAGTCTGTTTACATGGATGTTAAAGGCTTCCCAAGTGTTCTGACCTTGCAGAAATGGGTATTGAAAAGCTGCAGGTTCTCAGGAAGATGTTCTTCTCTCATGTGGGGAGGAGGATGCTGGTGGCTGCTCTGCATGCCTCTTTGAGCAGCGTTTCTAAACATCACCCAGCTTGAATGTCATACAGCCCAAGCACTTCCTGCACTCTGTGCTCCTCTGTCAGGAGCTAAGCAGGGCAAGGTATACATGTAATTACATCTCCCAGCCTTAGTCCTGTCACAGTGAAGATCCTAGGCTGGAAAAAGAACAACTAGTTGCTACAATTAATAGAAACATAGAATGGTTTGGGTTGGAAGAGACCTTAAAGATAATCTACTTTCAGCCCCCTGCAGGTAGGTGTTCTTGTGCCTAAAGAAGTAGAAGTGCATGGGGAGGGAAGGGCACCTGGAGGTTAGAAGACTTCAGCTGTGCAGAGGGATATGAGGCCCCCTGAAGAAATATTTCTTTTGACACAGATGTGGAGTTCCCAAGTGATTATCCCTCGGGCTGCCTCCTAGGCTGTGTGGATGTGACCGACTGTTTATCGCAAGAGCAATTTAACGAGCAGGTGAGTACATGCTCTGGGGTTGTTCTGTCCCTCTTGCTGCACAGGTGGATGTGCACCAGGAGGCTGGGGCTGTGCTGGGCTGTGGAAGACAGGAACCTGCAATGCATTAATATTGCATTTCCAGTTTTCATCCTATTTTGGCAAACTCAGGAGCTTGCATCTTACCTCAATGTGGCTTCTAAAGTGCTGATTGTTTCTCTTGTAACTTCAAGGAGTCCTAATAGAAAGAATTGTTCCAAGTTTTGCCCTACCAGGCAGCAATTTTTTGCTGTCTCTAGCTGTAACTCTGCTGATCTTTCTGTCTCAGGGAGGACTCTGGACTAGGAGGGGTCAAGTACCTGTTTGGCTGCTTTTGGAGCACAGCAAACAACTCCCTGTGCACAGCCAGCAGAGACTTCACAGTCATCGCAGGGGTTTGTGTGCCAAAGGATGTGAAGGGAGCTGGAAACCTGAGACAGTGTAGAAGTGTGGAAGACTCTGCAGCAGTGGTGGCAATGTGCCATGGAACCTTGTCCCTGGCCTTGTGGTGCCAGTGGGATCAACCACCCTGGTATGTGAGAAGGCAGCTTGGCCCAAGCAGAGCCATCTAGGTCTGTAGCTGCTGCGACTGCCTGGTGCTTTTTCCTGGAGCTGGAGGTCACAGTGACCTCACTGGTGACAGTTGTGCTCTGCTTGGAGCACTGAGTCACCTGGAGTAGGAGCTCTGGGAGTAGGTGAGCATCCTCCCATCAAGAAGGATGGACAGCAGAGCCTCAGGGTCTTCACACAGATGGTGCAGAGAGGACATCCAGAGTCCCTAGATATCGGGAAGGAGGCACAGATGGAGATTGGTAGTGAAACACTGGAACAGGTTGCCCAGGGAGGTGGTTGGTTGTACTAGAGACCTCCTGAGGTCTCAGTCTGTGATGCTGGGACTGACTCCATGTCCAGAATTGGGGCAGCATGTCAGGGTGGGTTTCATTACCTTGCAGAGCCCACGGTTAGTACCATGCACAGCAGGGCTGCTCTCCGTACCATCGCATGTCTGTTCACTGCACTGCTCCCTGTAGAAGCCAGGCTTGGTCTGATGGGAATCTCCAGACTGGAGGGCTTAATATTGGACCAAAATCATCCTGTGAGTTGGAAAAAATAGATTCCTTGGGATGGAGAAGAGACACTTGGTTGGTGGGCATCTTCTTACCATGAGGAGCTGGAGTGGCAGCAGCAGCTGGAGGCTGTGTTTCATGAAGTACTTTTTTGGATTTCCCAAACCTGGTGAGGTTTTTTACCAGAAACAGATGCCTAGAAACTAGAGATGAAGAGAGTACTAGTGAGGTTGTGACTGCGTCACAGGCAGAATGGGGAGAGATTGGAGTTGTGAGCAGCAGAGGGAGCTTTGGGACTGGAATACATGGAACTTTGCAGGAGTGTTTGGCCTGGTATGGGAGAGAGAAGAGGAAAGGACACTGGGCCATGGTAGGGTAGTCTGTAGCATCCAGTGAGCTGCACTTTGGTCTTAAATGGAGTTTCTCATTCTTCTACTGTTTGTATCATAGTGAGAAAATATGTCCTGGTCTCTCACAAGTACTTACCTCCCGCTAACAGTTCCTCCTCTTCCTTTGTGGGTATGTTCTTCAGGCATTGGTAACACGGCCGTGACAGCTTCTTACAATCTGGAAATGGAGCAGTAGGTAACTGGCTTAACTCTTGCTGTAGAGAAGCCTTATAATTAGCTTTGCTCTCTGTTTATTCCTCCAAGTTTGCTGACACTGCCTGGCTGCAGAGGCCCTGTGGGAAGAGCAGTGTATTCCAGGGACACTGGTAGCAGACCTATAGGCAAGAGATTGACCTCTCTTCTCAATCCCACGATGCCATGGCACTTCCTGGTTTCTATTTCTCTAGCTTTTTGCTGCTCCCATATTGCAAATGATTTATAATTCCCAATTGGCTGTGTTTTTATAGTGCTTTTGTCCTTTTTTTTTCCCAGGCTTGCCTAACAGGGTGTTCGTTTCCCTAAGATTGAAATCAGAGCACTGAGCATCCTTCTGAAGCTGGTTGATGGGGAAATGTCTGGTTTTGTGGGCTATCATAAGTAGCAAGTGCATCTGAAGGAAGCTGAGGTGAATGTAGTTAGGAATGCCAGCAAGATGAAACAGGGTGCAGTGCCAGCTCAGAAACCCCAGTTGGATCTCACTGGGAGTTGGAAATCCCTGTTGCTCACCCTGATGATTCAGCCCAGGTTCCTCAGCCACCAGCACCAAAGCCCCTTGTCAGCAGGGCAATCCAGCCATTCCTTGGTGCACAAGGACCCCTCCTTGCCTTAGAGTGAGCAGTGAAGGAAGGTGATGTGGTTTTGCCACCTAGGGCATGCAAAAAATGCTGAACATTTTCTACAGATCTGCAGTTTATTAGCAAGTTGGGTAACATGGGTCAGCAAGAACCTCTCAGAGATTAAGCTGCTGTGGAGCTCTTTCTGGACACTGTGCTTTGACTCATGCTTCTCTGCACCAACTCTTATTTGAAACTTCTTCATCTTCAGGAAGAAATCATTTCACAAGTGCAGGGCAAGCCACGTTTGCAAGTCATACCCACCACCCAAAGGTGACATCATTCCTTGTCTTCTTCATTGTCTTTTGGTGGTGACCCTGCCTTTCTCAGCAGCCATGGAAGTTTGGTTTGACTCTTGTGATCATTCCTTCCCCTAGGCAAGGGAGGCTCTTTGGTCTGTCCCTCCTACGACTTTTCCAGTACTTCTCAGTCCTTTCCATGCTGTCATGTTTTCCCTGTTTAGTACAGCCTGCAGATTTAATCTCCTTGCTGTTGCATCCTCTCTCAGGTTGCTAATGAAGATGTTAGTGGCACCCTGCTGTTATTTTTCTGTCCTTATCCTCATTGAGTATTTTATGTTACGCTTGTGCTCAAAACCCCAAACTGAAGCAATGATGCCCCGTTTTGCTGGGTGCTGCTCCAGCAGAGGCAGAGCAAGTCCCTGCCCCCAGAGCGTGCCTGGTCATTAGGGACTGGTTGTTTATCTGTGTTGTTACAGGACACGTAACTCTGGCCTTGCATCCCCCCTGTGAGGGGTCAGTCTGGCAGCTCTGCCCGACGTGGTATCTAAAGGCCAACTGATGTTGCTGAAGTGGTTTGCAGGTCTTCAGGGCTGTGTGAGAAGAAATGACAGAAAAGGATCTTGTGTCCAGTAGCTGGCAGGGAGCAGAGGAAGAGCAGAGCAGAGATGTCCCTGTGATTAAAACCAGCCTCACATCAGATGACGTTGCCCTAATCCCAGTCATGCTACTTATTGCATGAACCAGTTAAATCCCTTCCTCTGGGTCTCTTTCCCAAGTGGAAAACAAAGCAGTGCTTCTCCATCAGAGGTTCTTTACTCTGAATTTTGCTGCTAAAAGCTGTGATCTTTGAATCAAAGCTGCTCTAGGAGCAGAAGCTATGATCAGGTAGGAAAGTCCACCCCTGGTATCGAGTGTCCCCTGCCTTGTTTGCTGAGGACTGAAGCAAAAGCTGCTCTGATTTCAGTCCTGCTGCTGAGTGGGTGGTTGGTTGGCTGCTGCCCGGGGCTCCCTCCCCGGGGCTTCTCAATCTCAGTATTTCCAGTTGAGCTTTGCACATCTCACACCTCCTTGGAGCACATTCTGGGCTTGTTGCCTTCTCTTCATGGCAGCCACTCAAAAAGCCTTGGTGGAGACCAGAATGATCCCTTTGTTATGCTTGTCGGCGCTAAAGGTGACCTGGAAACTTTTTTTCCCCCTGTTGAGATCCGAGTGTTGACGACGGCTTTTCCTGGCTCCGGGCTGACGTCACCGACACCTTGAGCCGAGCAAGGAGCTGCCTTTCTCCTCCTGAGGTGTTGGTGACTTCAGTGCTCGCTGGGGAAACAGGGGCTGGTGCAGGCAGGGCTTGGCAGGAGTCTAAAGCAATCAGGGAACTATTTACATTTATTCCAGTTTAATGTGCTCTCAAGTCCATGTTCATTTTGCTAATGACTTTGATCCAACAGACTATGACTTTAACTGGAAAAAGAACATTTCCGCTGTTCTATTTTAGTAGCTGATCAGGGTGTTTGGGCTTATTTTGGATGCCAAGGCACACACAGGCCGATATCTAGACGTAGTTATTATCTTGGGCTGAATTATTGGGTAATTATGTTTGACAGGAGTCAAGTGCTTATTTTTAATTTCTAGGTGATCACTTAGTTTCCTAAATCTGCACAAGGGAACAGGTCTGAGTTATTTTTGTGCTACAAGAGTGCAACTGTCATTTAAACATCTTTCCCTCTTAGGGATTTTTTTGTTTAAACTCTTGCCTTCCTCTTCCCTCCCTGGTGAAAATAACAGCAAAAAAAAAATTACACTTGGGCACCAAGCACACAGGGCTTGCTTTAGAAGAAGAAGGGTAGAAATTCTCTATATTTAGACTCCAGAAAGTGCCTGTTTAGATTATCTCCAAATAAAGGAACAATAGATCACTGGTAATATTTTTCCAAGAAAGAAGTTAATGAGAGGGAGAAACATAAACCTATACGTTGACTTTGAAGAACAGTATAAATAGCTCTAGACTTCCCATGAGGACCTTCTCCCCACAGTAAAGGTTTCCTATCACAGGCCCCAAGGAAGAAAAATGCCCATTTGTGTGGTGCTGTGGCTGTCCTGGCTCACCCCTCACCAAAGAGATATTTGTCTTCTCATTCCTGAGGCTTATTATTGCCCCTCCACTGAGGAGGGAATTTTAGCAGGGTTTTGAAGGCCGGATCAGATCTACTTCCTTCTGCAGTGGTCTAGGTAGCTATTAACGATTGCAGCTGATAAAAGGCCTTTGAACTTTACAGGTCCCTGAATTCTGCTAAGCTGAGTTTGCCTTTCACGTGTAGCCTGATGCCAGATCAAGTGGTGTGAGGCATTAGTCTGGCTCTCAGGGACCAGCGGGTGATGCTTCTTGTTACTGGGTTTCTCAGCGCATGAAGCCCCCCTGGTTGGTGGTTCTAGGAGCAGAGCAGGGCAGGCAAG